CTTTCCCCGGTCAGCGGACGCACTAAAACAAAAATCCGCCGAGTCGCCGATGTACAGAAACAGAAAAAGGGGGTGGGAAAAGAAATGAAACGAAACACCGAATCTCGCTCGAACCTCGGTGTTCACGCAGGGACAACGGCGAGCAGCTCGATTCTGCCCCGAGAACAGACGCACAGTGGATTTTCGGTGGAAAAGAGAAACGAATCGGCGACGGTATCTTTTCGCGCGGACGTTTCACGTCGAATCGAAACTTTCACTGTTTAGGGAGCTCGTAGAATTTCACTGGGCCCCCGTTCTCCGGCGCAATATGGGTACCGAACCGTTTCCTCGATCGAATTCGGCGCACGAGGCGGACCCGCAGCGACCGCGACGGATCGTGGACACCCGCGTACGATCGACTGACGATCGAGACGACGAGGATTTAATTGAGCGTCGCGGCGAGGCGTGTTCAAACGGTGCCAGCTGTGACCGAGCGAGTAATATTGCCGCGAAGAAGCCCGGACCGGGACTGACTGGCCATAGGATTCATTTGGGTCAGCGGCACAACGTAGTATAGCGTTGCCAGGGCTCCGACTATACTGTCTGTTACACGGCGAAGTGAAGGTGCTACGGCCGCGTGGCCATAACGGAGCTATCTTCGCGGCGCGATTCGATTTTTCATGCGTTATCCCGATCTCAGCCGCGCGATTCCGATCCGTTTCTCGCGCTAATAACCGATCCTCGTGAAATTCGACCAACTTTCGATCGTACGGCTGGGTAAAGAAGAAAAGACCGGCGCGGTTCTTTCTGGCCGCGATGTTTTCTTTTCGCGTGCTCCACACTCGAGAGGATCGAATTCTGAAAGGCGTCCAATGAAACGCTGATTGTCGGTGGTGGATCGACGTTCGAAAGTTTTATTAGTCCATCCGTACATCGTTCTCTTACGGAGGCTTAAATTATAGAATATACAGTTATAGAAGAATAGTTTTGGACGCGCTCGGTTGCTCGGCTCGCTTGTCCTGAGATTATTTATTTCTCCTACGTAACGTTTTAGCTCGAATAACCCTGTTGTCGAGAAATTTTTGTTCGTCTTCGCGGCGGAAAGCAACATTTTTCGATGAGCCGGGAAACTAACGCATTGAATCTGTGTTTAACGGTACGCGTATTGGATCGATGTCGTTGGCTTCAGCTCGATGTACTGGGGATACTCGAGCTGTAGAACAACGTAGCGACGGGATACAAACGTCCTCGTGAAGAAGTAACTCATCCCTTGGAACAACATGGGGCAGAGAGCTGGTTTCCCGGCTGCCTTCGCGGTACCATTGTCAACCATGTCCCACAAGTCGATCATTTGGCAACCCGATGGCCTGAAAGAGTAAACATTCTTATGTGTATCGGGGATGGGGATCTTCTCTTTATTATCTAGAATCTCGAGATTTAATTACAGATTCGCGTAGGCAAAGCACAACGGTTCTTCTAATACGACATAGTTGACCCCCATTTTTCTCAGTGTCAAGTATACCGAAGGCTCGTCTTTTCTGCTGAAGATCTCGTATACTTGGAGCGTTCTATTTCTGAAATACGGAACAGCTCGTAGCATCATGAAGATTAAATATTAAATAGAACGGAACAAGGATACGCGATAGTATTAAGTCACTTATTAGAAAATATTTTCAACAAAAACAATGCTAATAAAAAATTTCATGAAGTACACGTGAAACGATCGTGAATCATTGAATTAGAGGCACACCTCATCTCTTTGCTCTCGTAATAAGGATTGTTAACGATAGGTCTACCCGTGGAGAGCATCAAGTTTGCCATCAAAGACATCTTGCCAGCGAAGACCGCGTCTTTCGGCGTGTTATTCTTTATCCACTCGAACAATTCCTCTTGTTCGAGGTTCATGAACTCCCCTATAATGTAAAAAGACCCTGTTCAACGTTCAACGAGTTCAGGTGTCTGAAAACCGTTCCGACTTCCCGGCAACATTACCCATAATGCTTCTTTCTTCGCGGAACCTGTCTATACCGTGATAGGACATCGCGGATATTAACAGCACCACGACAGCGGTCCTCATCTTGTTACCCTTCAATCCGACTTTCTCCAAGTATCTGCTCGCGCAGATTGTGCCCGCTACTATGCAGAGCTGCGGGTTCATGAACAGTTTCAGTCTCATGATGAAAACTGCCATTATTATAAACGCAACTGTCTGCAGTCCGTTGTAGGCCACCTCTGGCTCTATGGCTGTTAGGTATCCTCTAACTTTATAGTTTCTATACCAGTAGTACAGTATTAAAATGCCGGCTAATACGGCGATCGGTAGCAACGAGGTCTTTATCAGTATTTCGTAGCTCCTGAACGGTAGGAAGTCGAATTCAGCTGAACACGTGTACAACATTGTATGGAAGTCTCGGTAATTGGTCAGCTTTGCTTTCAGCAGATTGTACACGTGTGCGTCGTCCTCGAATGCTAAGTAGAACTTAAGGAGTACCGTGCTGACGACTACGAGGACGATTTCTATAGGTGTCTCTAGATTTACACCGAGGTATTGGGTTGGCCTCTCCGGTAACTCAAAGTTAATGATGGTAGCCATCAACAGGCACATGTACAAGGAGTACAGTAAAGTGCTGTCGTCGGATAGTAGCCTCGTCGCTATAAATGCCGGCCCCGCGTGGCATAAGCAAATGAGCATGCAGAAATCATTTGATATTACTTTCATCCATTTCAGTATAAGCAGCGCAATGATTTGTGTGCTGTACACGAAATGCGTGAATTGCCAACAACACAGGCTAAGCATTATAGCTGAACACATTTTCTGAAAGAAATCAGCAAGTTATTTCACTGAGGAGGCTCTTTATTTTCGCCTCAGTGTCCAATTGAATGTTTCAACGCACTAGAAATAATAGCGGAGGTATTTTCTTCCAGGTTTGTCGATTGCCTTCTCTAAGGAGCACGGTAAGCAGGTACATTTGGTAGAGAATCATAGGGTACGCAAAGCTTTCTCGCAATGGTGGAGTCCACTGAACTCGAGTGCACTCGTTGTGGTTGTAGAAGAACAACAGTGTCGTGATAATCCCACCGAATAAGCTGTTGCTCAAGTATACGGAATAATAAAATAGAATGGCTGCTGTACACATGGCACTGAACCAGACATATCCTAAATAAAAATACACAGGTACAGCCAAACCCGCACAGCTTATTACTGGTGGCACATTTTCTCCTCTTTCTATCTGAAAGTGACACTTTCCTGACAATGTTATAGGAGAGGGGAATTATATCTTTTATTGTATGCAGAGTCAATTTGTGAACAAACATTTATCAGGAATGAGGAATCAGGTGCTTCTACATGCAGACTCTGGATACAAATCCAATACAAATAAGTCTTACTGTCCAGCACTCCGTTATAGAAATGATTTCCAAATTCTTGGACCAATGATATAGCCATCCGATTAACAACTGCAATCCATTAATTCTTATTGTTTCTCGTTCTAATACCTATACCTTAAATTTTACGCACATAGGATATCCGCTTAGGTACCCATTGTATAAAATTGAGCATAGCATAACGTTTAGTTAGTCTTAACGTCTCTCTCTCTCTCTCTCTCTCTCTCTATCGTATTTGGAATTTCATGCAACTCTTTAACGGGGTGAACTAATCTCCGTTCGATTCCAGAATCAATTTAATCAATGGGAGTTTACCAATTGAAGTACAGTACCTCTGGCAGCAAGTTATATTTTGCACTGGCATTTATAACATGTCCATACTCCGATATATTATCGTGCCTAATTTTTCTCCAGCCCTCCATAAATGTTTCCGATTCCGCGATCGTTTTGAAGTACGAGTAATACATTCCCTGCGAATATGAAAACAAGAGAATCATACCTGGACTTCCCTGGCAGAGAGACATATTCTGCCTTTCAGAATTCGTTCAGAGTTCGTACCATTTCCGTGCGGAAGGACATTTCCCTCTCGATTTCAGACAGATGCGAGAAATGACGGTCATTTTCGAAGAGCGTGGATACATGCCACCGATGGAAAATGCCAATGACCCAACCTGTCGAAGAAAATAACATAACACTGTAATCTACATATCGAAAACATAAATACACGTTTTCTTTTCATTAAAAAACAAACTTTTCACCTATGACTGTTACAGCAAATTTGTATACACGAGTCTCACTGTCACCATTCGTGGCCATCTTTAATAACTGATCTGTTTTGATCACATGACCCAAGATCAGCGCCACGATCCGCGTCATTTCAAAATGTCTGCCGTTTGTCCAAAAAACTTTCAACCTTCTATTCATTTTTATTACCGAAAATGCAATTTAAAACGCGTCGATTTTAATGTCAGCTTATAGGAGAAACGTCGAGACGTCAAATGTGAGTGGACTATCCTATACATTACGCTCGCACAATAAAATCCATATAGATATATATAAAGGAAACTTCTGTGCATAACCAGTGAACATTTGATTTCAAATTAGTTCAGAATTCTGACAGAAAAGAACACTATACGTTCACGTATTTTTAATAACGATGAACCAGAAATAAATCGAAACCATTATGCAAATGTATTCAAGAAAATATTACATTAACGATCGCCTAGGATTAATTAAATTTCAACGCGGAAGCAGCACGATTTTTCAAGCTTAAATCAAGTTTTCAGAACATCCGCTGCTTCAAATGATAATTTTATGTTTAATTGGTCTCTTATAAAATATAAATCAAACAAGCAACTGTTCCAAGTATCTCTTTCCACTTTTGATATCGTGCATCGCGTTTCGTCGAATGACACGTCTCTGTTTCGTTCACAGCACCGCGAGTTAAGGTAACAGGATAATTTACAACGAGCGCTCGATTCTCCAGGAGAAATATGAATTTCCATGGACAGGGGGACTTCCTACGGCCCTGGATGTGCGCGTATCGCCAGGCGTGCATTGGCACTCCCGCTATCGATCAGTCGCGTGTTAGTCCACCGTGACATGGAGGATCTCTTGCTGCAGATCGTCAGGGAGTCCAGTAATGCGAAGCTACAGAATTTACGGAAATCGGCGCAGGAAGCGCACGGTGAGTCCTTTCTATCCGAAGACTCGAAATCAATTTCATTCCAGCCTGCGTACGCCAGGAGACTCGGCCACTTTACCATTCGGTTCAATATGCACGCTAACCACCCTCGCTTGACACCCATTCGCCCATTATTTCGCAATATGTTACATTAGAAAATAAATTATCCTTTAATCCGTTTACTTTTCATCCGCGATGAATATAGAATTTCCGAGAATTACCGTCAGCTCGAAATTGCTGCATCCCCTATGGGTCGTCGTTTTATCATTTGTTTCTGGATGGAAGGAAATTTATATTCATATTTGGATTTTTTCCTTTGATACTGGATGAATGTTAGAACCGTGGAAATAGTACGTATAGTAGAGATAATAGAGGATTCGTGATTTTCACCGCAGATTTCTTGGAGAAGCAGCAAGCGTTGCTGCGCGATCCACCCCACGAGCTGCGGGCAAAATGTCTACACACCTTTCAGCTAGCACTGGAGACCAAGAGGAGCAAATTTGTCGCGTTCGGTCTGTCGGGATTACATGTACGTACCGCGACGAATTTTTTCGTGACCCTGGCATAACGTGCACGCATACATATACGAGTTACATCCGCCCGCGGGAAGGAACTTCGCGATAATGCGTGTGATATGACCGCACAGCTGTACCGTTTGAAATATTCCTCGACAAGGTGTCCCTTGTGTTCATCTTTTTATTTCGACGAAATGAACATAGAGTTTATCTTATTCTCCGAAATATTATTAGAAGAACGTGGGACCTAGTTTTCTATTTGGGACTCGTAACGAATAAAGATAAAATTTGTAGAACTTCGATGTTCCCTGATTTTCTTGGATTTAACGGGTCGATTAGATTTTTAACGGCAACGTTTAAAATACAGAAAATGTTGAGAGACGACAGGTTCCAGTCACCCTACGAGCCAGAAGACGATTCTTTATGGCTGCCCGCGCAAATGTTACACGCGATGGGTTCGATTCTGTCGCAGTCCGACGACACGCAGACGGACATGCTGAAAGTGAGTCCGAGTTCAGTCGAAATTCGTTGGATTCTCGAGGGAAGCATACGATTTATGTTACAACCTTTGCACAGGTTCTGCTGCAAGTCGCCTGTTCTTCTTATTGGACTATGAACGGCCGCTTAATAATCGCCATACTCACTACCTGCTGCGAGGCTTTCGAAAATGGGAACCAGGCTGTGAGGACCGCCGCGCAGGCTGCGACGAGTCAGACCTTGCGGTCCTTCTGCCTGTTTTTAGGTAACTAAAATCCAGCAGAAGAATCCTTGAGAAATCAAATTGAACATCGTTACGTTCCTCTCTGTTCGTACTTTCATTTGCAGTAACGAATGATCTCGCAGTCACAGAAACCTACTAAAAAAATGTAGAACGCGTGCAGGCTTTCTTCTCGAGATAATAAATTCGCTTTCCGTGCACCTGTTCGTTTCATAGCGAGCGGCGTTCATTACAAATGGAAACTGTGAATTCTAAATGATCTGTCGAGCGGGTAACGTTCCCCGTACATGCAAATACCTCGTGATCACAGTCAGACAGAAGTTTGATAGATAGAATGCGCCGTTCGCGTGACGGCGACGCTTGGCCCGCTAAATTCCGCGATCGCTGGTCTATTTCCCGATACCCCGTGATTCCATCGCTGCACGTTAGCGGAATTGACGATTATTGTTTCCGACAGACGAGGAGTGCCAGGAGATGGACGAGAACGCGAAGAAGAATAAGAACGTGTGGGAGAGGGGAGTGTCCTGCTTCAACGAGGCATTGCCGATACTCCAGTACATCTGCAGCAAGCTGGACGAGGCGCAGAAGTAAAATGAAACAGTATTAATCGGGAGTGAAGCCTGCATTTTCTGATCGTAGGAAATCTTGTTCCAGTAACGGTAGAAACGGGAACACGGTGGTCTTCCTTCTGGAGTGCCTGCACACGTTGATTTCTTCGTTGCCGCAGAAGATCCACACGAACGCACACTTCACCACGTTCCTCTGGCAGAAGTTCTGTCCAGCGTTGATCGCGTTCCTCGGGACGCCCAGGGTGGACAAAACGTTCACCTCCAGGGAGGGAAAGGAGAACGAAGTGGGCAGAGGATCCGGGTACTTAGCTACTTCGCTGAGCTTTGATAGTCATCAGGCTAAGACTGTCTACAGGCACGTGGACTGACGTTTTGGAAATGAATGTATCAAATGTACCTTTAGGGAACTCGTAGAACAGTTTAATCAGTAGAAGAAATAGTAACCAGTAGATGAATCGAACAGATTCCTCTCTAGATATCTTTGAAGAAAGACGAAGCTACTTTCTTTCATCTTAGAACTTCAATTCTGAACCCTTCGATTCGTCTAATGTACCTCTAGGGAACTGTAGAACAGTTTAATCAATAGAAGAAATTAACAACCAGTAGATGAATCGAACAGATTTCTCTCTAGATATCTTTGAAGAAAGACGAAGCTACTTTCTTTCATCTTAGAACTCCAATTCTGAACCTTTCGATTCGTCTAATGTATTTCTAAGTAACTGTAGAACAGTTTAATTAGTAGAAGAAATTAATAATCACCAGATGAATCGGAAGGTTCAGAATTGGAGTTCTAAGATGAAAGAAACTAGCTTCCTCTTTCTTTAAACGTGTCTAGAGAGAAATCTGTTATACAACATTTGTAATATTTTACGTAATTTCTCATTAATAGCATCGGAACAGAACTGGTTCGATTAGTAGGCTGTGTAGGACCCTTGAGACCGGTCCTGGAATCAGTGTTCCATCGAATGCTGCTATATCCGCCTCCCCAGCAACGTTTGGAGTCTTTGAAAGCTTTGAAGGAGCTCTTGCGTAGTCCCAGTCGAATGGTAGACTTCGCTGGGCCATTGCTAGTGGAAGAGGACAGATCGAGTCACATTCAGAGCGACATGGCGTTGATGAGATTGTAAGTTGTTTTCTTCTTGGTAAGTGGATCGCGTTAATGATTCGTGGTTGAACTTAGGGCAATGGACTCGATCGAGGAATCAACGACTGGAGGATTGAGTATACTGCACGCTAGCGTTTCGTGCGTGGTCGCGATGCTCTCCGCTCTTCAGGAACTGTGCGAGGGGAAGGCCATTAATCACACTTACACGTGCGCGATCAATAGTCTGTACGAGGACCTGGAGTCCTGCGACTATAGAGGGCCGCTGACTTACCAGAGCATGGCTCGGCTGCCAAAAACTTATAGGTGAATCAATTTGATTTCCTCCATCGATGAAGTCAATGTTTCACATCCTCTTAGAATGCTTTTAGAATCTAGAAGATAGTTCCAAGAATATCGAATGATGCAAGGATTTATTGCCATTTCGGTTATCAAACTCTAGTACTGAATTTTCAGAGAGCAATTGGAGTTGATGAAGAAGGGAATAGGATCCGATTCAGACTCTTCAGGGCATGGGCCATCGGAAGACGGCGACTCGACGGACACAGAAGGCCCTCAGAATGACTCGGACGAAGTGCAAGAAGAGAACAGCTTAGAGGACAATGACTACGCGATGGAGAATGAAAGGGAGAGGCTGCGATTAGAAAAGCTTCCGAAGTGTTTACACGTTGGTAGACAGGTAGCCGACGAGTGCAACGTGGACGTCGAGCGACACAACGCGAGGAAGTTCGTCAAGACACTGAAAAGCGACCTGATTCCTATGGTGTTGAGCCTGAGGAGCAACATAGAGGTTGACGAGGCGTTGCAGAACTTTGCATCGGAATACTGTCAAGGTATGAATGTGACCTTTAATTTAATAGTAACTTATTTAATTATTGTTTTCCAATTTTAGGAGTCTTCACAGCGCAGCAGAAGATCCAGGAGCAGACTGACATCAGTACGGACTCCTGTGCACTGATCACGATCATGAACGCTGATGGGATTTATCTGGCCACCTATGCTGCCTTACTTCTGAACTTAAAGCTGATCAGGATTAACTACTATCACGAAGAGAGTCGTCAGGTCCCAATCAGTGAGGTATGGATACATAAACTGTTACTCTAATCATTTAACAACTGCAGGGAGTCTAAAAATGAAATTCCTCAGGAACAATTCGTGGAAGAAGTACACGGTTCGGGAGTTCTGGTTTATCTGTCAGCCACCTGGCTGTCTGAACTCTATCAGCAAGTGTTAGCCTGCAATCTTCTCGAGAGATGTGGTTACAGTCCCCAATATACGGAGCACAGTGCTCTGATAAATGTTCTGACAGGTGATTAAATCCGCTGCAACCTAGTGAAAGCTTATTGAATCTAGAAACTGCTGACTGAAATTTATTCTTCCAAGACGTCGATGGCATTCCTGGTAGTCAAAGAGGCGGGCAGCTTCTCTCAGACTACATAAGACTGGAAAAAGCTCAGCTGTCTCGAAGCGAGCCGACACCGGAAGCTGAAGCAGGCGCGAAGCTGTCCAGAAGAGTACTGACTTGCTGTTGGGGAAGCATGATGACTGTTCTCACGACTGGTCTGAATCCTCCCAAGGAAGAGAACAACAAGGGTATACTGAATAGAGATGGCGGCAGAAGAGGTATCAGGGATACGGTGGTGTTGTCTCTGGAAGGTCTCCATAAAGCTGCGATTTTGAGTAATGTCCTTGGTCAGTGGAGTTCCTTGATGCGTTGATAATTTTCCGAGATGCAGCAAGAGTCAGCAATAATGTCTCATTCTTATTATTCAGGCCTTCAGAATCGTTGCGGCTCGATTTTCGCTTTGCTGGCTAAAGCAGCCTGCACAGAGCAGTCGATATCAAGGATCACTCGAACGAAAGACGTTCTGCGTTTGAAATTGCAGAACAGAGCGACGAATATTCATACCTCGCATGCTTTAAGCATGGATGTTCTTCTGGGCAAAGGTTTGGAGCTAGGGAGTCATGGCAGTGACTGCTGGCCACATGTTTTTACGTAAGATATTATCGTTTGATCCTTAATGAATCCTCATCGAGAGTATTTTATAAAAGAATCTCTGTTTTCATACAGCTGCTGCTTATACGTGAGCAAACTAGAACACGACTTCTTCGGGAGAAACCAGAATCCACCGTTGCCGAAGACGCAGCAAAAGAAGGAGAAGAAGGAGACTGCGAATGGGGATCCCAAAGGAAGTCAGGACAAATTGAGACTGAGTTTTAACATCACCGACGAAGAGGAGACTTGGTAATCATGCTGAAGGATTTTCTTTGGTTTAATCGAAGTCTCTTCGAGGATTAACGAAGTTGCATTCTTACAGTGTCGACGTCTACAGCTTCTTGTCTAGTCCTTACACGCAGAACCCCAGCTCAGACACGATTCCAGAGATCATCCAAGAGTCCAACGCGGACAGCCAGTTCAATGGTATCCTTCCTGCAGATTACGCAGCCAAGATCATCTGTGTCCTGTCGCAGCAGGTCGATAGGCTCTTCGAGAACGCCGCGTTGAAATTGAACCTTCGAGCGCTGTGCTTATTCCTGACTGCTCTCTGCAAAGCTAGTAAAGCTCAGCTGTTCAAAACGTCGGACGGATTTAAGGATAATAAAAGATTCTGGTGGAGGAGGAGCAAACCCAGAGAAAACGAGATGAACGTGTTGCTGTTGGCTAGATTGGGAGAGGTCATGCTGAAGTGCGTGAAGAGTGGACGACCTCTGATCCATATAATGAGGGTAGGAATGTTTTCTGATGTTTTCTATGAATTAGAGATTGAATCTCCTAGTTCCTTTAGTAATATGAACACCTATTCGTAGGTGTGGAGCATTCTGGGTCCCCATTTCATGGAAGCAGCCTGCCATAAAGACCGCAGCATCTCCAAGAAGGCTGTCCAATGCATCCACGACTCTATGGCTGCTTTGTTGAACGAGCAAGTCGAGTTGCCGCATTTCCACTTCAACGAAGCACTATTCAAGCCTTTCGAGAACCTGTTGTGCCTAGAACTTTGTGACAGCGATGTGCAAGACCAAGTATGTGAAATCCTGAAGTATATTTTAATAGATAAACACTGAATCTTCCGAAAATGGACAGTTTTCATTTCATTCGCTTCAATGCCGAAGTTCAGTAAGAATCTTCTTTAAAAAGTTTCGTTTATACACATCGTTTGAATGAACCCTTAACACTCGAACTACCGAGCATTTAATACGATTAATATGCAATTCCTATACAAATTGTAACAATAGATTATTTTCCGTTTCTTCGGACATTCATTATAGTACTGAAACGAAACTATTTTCAAAATCATTTCGAATATTCAATGCTTCGAAGACATCAATAATTGCTGAACAAAAGAATCGAAACCAGTCATTTTGACGGTAGTTCTAGTGTTAAACAAATACTCTAAAATAATCATCGTCCGTAGATAAATGTCGAGTTCCTTAAAAAATCGAACTGTATCGATCCCTACCAGATCGTCAGCTGCATTTGCGAGTTCGTCGAGACCAACCGTACAGAGATCCGGTCCGGCTGGCGACCTCTGTTCGGCGCGTTGCGCGTAGCGTCGGTCGGCAATTCAGATTCCGTCGAGTCAGCGCCACTTCTGGAGGTCTTCCGGGTGTTCCTGTCCACGGACAACACGCTGGTATTCGCGAACGCGGCGCTAGATTGCATCCTCTGTCTGCTGCGGCACGTGAGAGGGATCGGTGACGCGGAGGGTCATCAGGGCGAGCAGGATCAGGTCGACGTCGCCGAGTCAAGGCGGATGAGGCTCTGCGTCGAGAGTCTCAAGTACCTGTTGAGCTGCAGCGATATTCTCGCGTCGATGTACGGGATGCCGGCTTGCCCCATCTTCCATTCAGCCCAAAGGATTCAAGTCTCGACCATCCCCCAATACGTTGATCCCGCGATCCCTAACTCCGAGCTGATCAGACTGGACAAGCACGCTGAATCCATACAAGAGACTATTCCCGAAAGAGCCCACGACGTCCTCATGGACAACGTTCACACGATCACGACGCTACAGAGTATGGACAAGCCTAGCGGCATCCTGAGAGTCTGGTATATACTGATCGAGGGTTTGGCTAGCGCTACCATGATCTGCCCTAAACGTTACCAACCCCATACTTTGGAGACTCTGTTCCATTTGCTGCGGGACACACTGAACGTTCCCGGCCCAGCTTTCGGCCTGTACTGCGTGAATCATCTGCTGCTCCCGATGGTCCAGAATTGGCTGAGGAAGACCTCGAAGATCTTCAGGGGCTGGGACAACTTCGCGCCGAATTTCAAACAGTGCTGCGGTCTTATCACCGACCTGGTAGTTGACTACTTGACTCATCTTCAAGGTGATTAAGGGAGTTCTCTATTTTCCCTGGAGAAGGGGAGGATATTTAAGGGTTTCCTTGGTGGATTCTAGGTCCCGAGGTTGTCAGGAACGATGCCTATCTTCCGGCCACGACGCTGATGTTGAAACAACTGCTACTGGTGATGGCGGAATGCGTCGTGCAACCTACCGAGAGCATAGCTCGATTAGGCTGCGCCTGCATTAGGTAAGCCCTCTTCGGCTCAGAGTCGAGCGCCTGGAAGGTCCTTTGGAAATGAATCCAGGATTTGACAGCCATTAATTCTGAGCCTATTAAGAGCCGGCTCCAGTGACTGGATATCGAATTAAGATCACTGACTCGCGAGGAAGGCATTCGATGATGGACAGCGATTCGAATTTCACGCTGGACCTGGTTTCAGATCAAAAACGAATTGCACTGATCCGAGGCAACGATCGAACGAATCTTAGATTATCAAATGATCAACGAACATTAGAGTTTCTACGAACAGCAAGGGAAACAGTACAGAATTTTCACAAGTTTAACGTAACTAGGTGTCCTAAGAGTTTAGATAGGATTGTACAGCTTATTTGTCTGTCAGAGTTGAACAAGGATGCCAGTCGTCGAGGAGCCGAGCAAACCGATCAGAAGAGAGAAAGGGTGAATCATAACGCGGAGGTTCGATGGAATGTCCATCGGCGGAGGTTAGATATATCGTCGTTACGGGCGTAGCGTGCGTGTAAGATGATAACGAAGCTTGACAGGCTGTCCGGTGGGATAAGGTAGCCACCGACACTCGACACCCCCGGAGCGTCGTGCCGGCAACACACGAACAAGGAGAAACGTGTGCGGAGCTTATACACGCGACAGTCTCGTCTCTCCTCCTCTCGTTCTCCCTCTCTCACTCCTTCTCCGTCTCTCTGTTTCTCCGGATCACCGTTGGGCCCGGTTGTATCCATTCGCGCGTTTTCTCCGTATTAATGCACGCCGTACATCGAGCTGTGTAATTCAATCCTTGCCGGGGTCGATCGCGAGGTATCGATGTACAGGCGTGCGCCGAGTTTAAAAACGGGACAGGTTCGCGGACAGATAGCTAGCCTGCCAGTGAATGACGAACGGGATCCTGCGCTGAAATCCTAGAGTCACCCACTACCGACGCCGCCAACCCACTTCGATCTACGACCCGGACCTGAATTTCGTCCCGAGGGGTCGGGATGGTTCGACTGACCTGTTCATTCATTCTACTGGTAGTCAGGAATGTGGGTCATCGAAGTTATAAGATAGATCTAGAAGAAAAGGATCTTCAACTGATCTGTTCGAGGATTCCTTCTTCAAAATGAAATATCTGAATCGAGAGAATAGAACTTTTGAAATCAATCCGAGACCTTCGAACCCAATGAACATATCCGCTAACCCTCGATCAACACCGATGACCAAAGTGTCCAGAGTTCAGTTGTCTGGACTATTCCTTAATTTAAGGGATTGCATGTTGTTTCAAGGGAGAAAATCTGATTTGTACAGGCATGTCCTGGTGAACAGTGGCCCACTCCTCACCCCAGAACAATGGGAAGTCTGCGGCGTCGCCTGTTACCGCGCCTGTTCGAATTCCCTGCAAGAGTTGCACCAGCTGACCATGGCTTTCTCGCCGAGATCGGAATCCTTTTACGGCGACATCGCTCAGGTGAAGGTTGCCGCGCGACGGGACGCGACGCTCGAAGAGTCGGAACGTCTGCGACAGCTCGCCGCCCAGGTAAGTTGCCGCATTGTTGCATCTGTGTCTGATCCTCTGATCTGGAAGGTGAACTATTCACTTCTGGCTGTTTGACGTTCGTTGTGCTTCTTTGTGCCCTCTCACATCCGCCATGAGTTCTTTCTCCGCTGAGCGTGTTTGTTCGCCGAGGCTGGCCACGGTGGCCAGTGGAATAGCACTACATCTAGATCTAAAGACGGGTCGTTGCGATTTTCAATGTTTTTTTTTACGCAGTCGACTATGATCGTCGGTATCAGAGAAGATCATCCGTGGTCTTTTTGTCGAGATTTTAGCGTCGCTTTCGTGGTGGTTAACCCTAGAGCTCCTAAGGGTCGCGTCTGGGTTTTGATAGTCTGTCGAACCAGCAAGTCAGGAACAAGTGGTACTTTCCTCGGGTTAGAAGTTGTTTAGACACTTCTATTGCTTAGCAATTATTCGAGGATACTTTGCGTAAGAGAAGTAGCTTGTACTTAAGACACTGATTCCTGGATTCGACGAGTCACAGCTAAACGAGCTGCACCCTAGCGACCTAGGGTTAATCGTTCGATCAAAGTAGCTTCCCCGGTTGTCAATCGGTTACGCGAGTGAGTGAGAATGTGTGTTGTGTACATAGAAGTATATGTATATGTATATCGGCAATTGCCAGCGAGTGAGAGACACGTGGTGCCCTCCTGACCTGACTTGCTCCCAGGTGAGCCAGCTGCGCGAGGTATTGTCTGCCATCAAGAGACAGAATGCGGCGTCACTGCCGACGACACCTTTCCAGGATTCGATGACCATTGAGACGACACTGATCGACCAGCACACTACCTCCTACTCCGTCGGTTGTAGGCAG